ATATAATTTTTGCCATTCTTCTGAAAAATGAAGACCATATTTCTTGTGATTCACATTAGCTTGCTGCTACATGGTAAGTTCAAGCTTCTATTGATGCTAATGCTGTTAAAATACAAAATAATACTTTTTTTAAATTCAACAAACAGACCATCAAATTAAAGTGAAGAAATTTATATTTTATAAGGGAAAAGGTGTCAAATAGCAATAGATTTTCAGAAAATTAATTTAGCCTATTTTTCTTACTTCAATAACCAATGTTCACAATATGAATATATAGATTATGGTTTCATGCATATAGGTATGTTTTAGCATGCATGACAAAAGATAATTTACATCCAGTTGATAGATAGATAGATAGATAGATAGATAGATAGATAGATAGATAGATAGATAGATAGATAGATAGATAGATAGATAGATAGATAGATAGATAGATAGATAGATAGATATGAAATAATTACCAAGTAGTACAGGTAAAGGTGAATTGGGTAAGCTAATTTATCCGTGGTATATGTGTGTGAATGAGTGTATGGTTATTTCCCAGTGATGGGTTGCAGCTGGAAGGGCATCCACTGCGTAAAAGATATGCTGGATAAGTTGGGGGTTCATTCTGCTGTGGCAACCCCTGATTAATAAGGTAATAAGCCGAAAAAGATAATGTACAGTACAAAGTTCAGTATGTCAATATGTGTTATGGTGTTGTCTAAAATTATGGGGATCCATTTGTGCCAAAATTGTACTACAAATTTGTCTTTGTGTGCTCTTTGCATGCATAGGAAAATCAGCATTGTTGACGTACATGTTGTCTTAATCTGTCATCCTGACGGTTTTTCTGTTTCGTACTGTCATATTCTATGGGGTATTATGTCATCTGATCTGTTGTCATTGTTGTCTATTCATCTTTACTGTCATCCATACTGTTGTATATGCTGTCATTTATACTTTCATCCTTACTGTCGTTTATACTGTCATTTATACAGTCGTTATATCGTCATCCTTATTGTTGTCTATGCTGTCATCTTTATTGACATCTAATCCAATCCTCCTTTTGTTGACTTGTTCAGATATCTGAAGTAGTTATGATCCATTATCTCGCTGTACGATTGCTATTGTTATGTAAATTGTATCTTCCTATCTAACTAATAAATACTGTTGTCTCTAGCTGTTTTCTCTGCTCAGGGTCGATTTGCTCAAAAACTGTTGAATGACCTAATGGAGGGCTATTCTAATGCTTTACGGCCTGTGGAGGACACAGACAAAGCCCTTAATGTCACTCTACAGATCACGCTTTCACAGATTAAAGATATGGTAAGACCTTAACTTATACACACAAATACAAGTCAGTCTCACACATATTTACTTTAAAATTTAGAGTTAGTCTGGTGTTTTTTAGAGCAGCTTAACTTATAGCCACATACACCACACCTTGAAACCTGCAGAAACAGTGTGTCTAAAATCACATCCGCTGGTTCTGAGATCAAGGCTGTATAATACACTAACGAAACCCACACACTGTCCAACTGACCTTGATGTGGCATGGCGCGTGTCTTCTGAGCATACTTTGACGATTTAATTCTCAAACCACATAGACCACAATGGTCAAAGGCATTTAACCTTCGGAATTACACGCTTAGTTCAAATTCATATGTTCACGTCATACTTAAATGATCACAGTTAAATATTTGTGATTCTGGGCCACAAAACAAGTCATAAAGGTCATTTTTGGAAATTGAGACTTTTTTTTTTTGATATTTGAGAGTTAAAAAAAATCTAAAATCTAAACAAATTGCCTTTAACCCTTTAATGGGCATGGTCCATAGGTTATCATTAAAACTAAAATCTCAGAATTGGCTTAGTGGGGTGTCAGTAACACTATTTGGTAAAAATGAGAGACTTTGGCAAAAAATTAAAAGGCTTAAGTTGTCCAATTTAAGTTATTGGTGATGTATATTACTAATAAAAAATGTAAAGGCTTTAATAAATGTACAGTATACAATTTATAAATGATTCTTGGCGCAAAGAAATCAAAATCAAAATTGTGTTTCATAGCCTACAACTATTGTTAGCTCATTTTGGCTGTTATTAAAAATATACCAACTTAAGGTTGGTATTTTGGTACAGGCCAGGGTCACATTTTTATGCTTTTACAATACTTGGCAATACAATAATTGGCAATAATATCCAATCAACCAAACGGTCTGCTTACTGATTTCAATTTACTGCACACTTTACTGCAGTTACAGTACATAACTCTAGGTGTCAGCACTTGTTTATGAGGACAGATTTATGTGGATACTTGTATCGTTATCTATCTGTATCCTGTGACACTGTAAACATAATATGTGTATAGGGTGAGCTGCATGACTAATGTACATTGCATGTGACCAGTGTATAACAGTTTCTAGCAACATGTGCCACTGTGGATCATGCTTTGTTCTCACATAAAGTATTAATTTAGCTCAATAATATGTTTGTGTATAGAGAAATATTAATAAGAAACAAATGTGTTTTTTGATATTTCTAATGTGTTATGTATTTATTGGCTGTTGGCTGTAAAACCGGGAGCGCAAGAGCAACTCCTTGATTTGCTATCCCAGCATGATTTCAGAATGTTTGACAGATAAACTAGTGTTTCGATGCAATTGCTTGTGACTTTTTGCAGAGACTTTTTTTTCATTTAATGACATAAGTATTACAGGATATTTTTTTTATTATTTTAACCTCATATTACATATTTGTAAATATAAATCTTAAAATATTTGGTTTATTTCCATCTTTAAACTGAGTTTTCAGTGTGGTTTTTGAAGTTGAACTTAGCATAGAGTCTTAATAACGGTAGCCCCGATTCATTACAGGAGATATGATACTGTACTGTACATACATTATGCTATTGTGTAATTTTTAAAGAAGCCTTATTCACTTTTTTCCCTTTCAAACATAATTTGAGTATTAGAATAAACTACATAAAACTTTTTAAAAAACTTGCAGTCCTAGCCTGGTGCTCTGGTTTACCCATGCCCAAAGACATTCAAAATACAGTAGGTGAAATGAATAAACTGACTCAGTGTTTAGCACTGTTGCCTCACAGCAAGAAGGTTGCTGGTTTGAGTCCCGGCTGGGCCAGTTGGTGTTTCTGTGTGAAATTTGCTTGTTCTCCCTATGGGTTTCCTCTGGGTGCTCTGGTTTCCCCCACAGTGCAATGACATGCACTACAGGTGAATTGGATGAAATAAATTGGCCATAGTGCATGTGTGTGTATGTGGGAATGTACGGGTGTTTCTCAGTACTGGGTTGTGGTGGAGTAAAGAATTCAATTTAAAATTTTCATGGTCAATGTTTGTGTGCATTGTCTTTAGATAGTATTTATATAAGGCTCTGGTACACATTGTTTATGCGTTTCAGAAGACAATGAATTTCTCGTTCAAGAGGCACTGAATTTCCACCCTGATCAAACTCAATCAAATATTAATTTACTGAACCTGAGGAGTACTTTTAACCAATGAGATGTGATATGTAGAAGGCATTAAGTGCAACCTAAGGGTTCAGACTTTCTTCCCTTTCATTCTTCATTGTTGTGAGAAAGTGTTCCATGTAGAACATTGGGGTTTTATCTTGCAGAGCAAGGCCCTTTGCGACTGAATACTCAAACTAGCATACCATATAACCCAGGTGTGTACAATCCTGCTTGTGGAAGGCTGATGTCCAGCAGTGTTTAGCTGCAAGGGTGTTCTTAATTAAGGTTGGCACTGAAGTCTGCAGGACAGTGGCAGTCAATGAGCTTGTCTGGGCACCCCCGATCTAGCCCCAAACTAGGTACTTTTACATGATGCATTGTAATTACTTTAAAAGTAACATTTGATTAAAAATGCTCCACAAAAACAAGTGAGTCAAAGAAAAAAAAAAAGATTAAATTGTAATCGGTTTCAGATGAGAGGAATAAAACACTCTAGAACCAAACAAAATAAAAATTCTGCCATGTAAACATCTTAAAATGATTAGCTGACTTTGCATCTGTGTCACAGTTTGCCACAACATGTTTTTCCGCTCAGCTTCTGAGTTTGTATAAAGCAATTTTGACGCATAATTAAGCTATTTTTGATAGTTCGGTAAAGTGCAAACTCAGCTGCCTTCAGGTAACAGACTCTCATGCTCCCTTCTAGAATTTAACATGATCACATTGATGCCAGTATTTTAGTAGGTAAGTGCGTTGACATATAGTACTGTGCTGCTCACGGCAACTAGAGTTCGATTTCCTGCTTGAGGTCCTTTGGCAGACCTTCCCCTCTCTCCCTATATTTGTAATCCTCTTGACTAGCCTTTCAAATAAAGGTTAAAAAAACATGATCATTAAGTTGCATGTGAAAGACGGGACATTCATCCATCTGCTTGTATTTCTTACAGGTTTTTCTTGTGTTCTGCCCCCTTTTCAAATTACTTATGTCGCTTTAAAAATGAGTAGATATAGTTTTTTCAATTGCGCCACCTCATCTTCTTTTACAAATTTTACTTGCTTTTTACCCAAAGATTAAAGCATGAGGTTCATTCACAGCCCCGGATAAACAAGACAGCAAACCCAACAGACTAATACGCACATTACAAGTCATTTCGACGTATCGTGCTGGCACATATAAATATGTTTTTTATAAATCAAATTATTGATCAAGTCATATACAGAGCTCTCATCGAAAATTGTTTGTGTACTAATTAGTTTTTTTTGTGCTTGACTCTGTGCTAGGATGAAAGAAACCAGGTGCTGACTACATATCTGTGGGTTCGTCAGATCTGGCATGATGCTTACTTGAGCTGGGATAAAGAAGAATATGATGGACTTGAGGTCATCCGCATTCCCAGCAATCTTGTTTGGAGACCAGACATAGTTTTATATAACAAGTAATTTTACTATCTGTCACATGCACACATTACCTAAAGAATAAGGACTATAGTGCGTGAATTTGAAGGTTAGGTCTAAACCAGCAACTTTATTACTGACTTTTTTGCTCAGTGCAGATGAGGAGGACTCCTCAGGACCCCCAGACACTAATGTGGTGTTGAGATATAATGGTGAGATCACATGGGACTCCCCTGCCATCACCAAAAGTTCCTGTAAGGTGGACGTCTCTTATTTCCCCTTTGATAGTCAGGAATGCAACCTTACCTTTGGCTCCTGGACCTACAATGGCAACCAGGTATATGTACTTGACTTCATAGAGGCATAGAAAATAGAATAGTAAACAAACGTGTTTCATAGTGTTAAATTATTAATTTCATTCAAAGTTCATTTGGATAACAAGACACACTTAAAAATATATATTTTGCTGCTTGTTCAAACTGCTTATTTAAAATAAACTAAATCAATACAATTCTTGAGTTTTTGGGGGGACAACTTAAACGTTTTATGTTCAATCCTCATAAATTTGTTAAAACAATTAAGTTAACTCAATCAATTTATGTTGGGACAACATGAAGGAATTGTCTGGAATCCTGCATTTTTACAGTGTACAATAACATATTATAAACAAATATTTAAGTTTAGATTTTGTTAAATAAACATTTTCTTGCTTAACATGTTAGAATATGTATTCATTAATTTTTGGAAAACCTGATGGCTAAAATGTTACAATATTTGTAAAATAGTAAAAAAAAAAAAATCATGAATGCTACTTGTAAAACTACTACTACTACTAATAAATAAATACATAAAAAAAACATAAATCTTATGTGTTAAGATCTGTTATTGTGTGCAGATATAGTTGTGAAGGTCTTTCCAGGCAGAATTCTGAATTTGTAACCTCTGAATATTGTAACCACAGGTGGACATTGCTATGGGCATGGAGAGTGGTGATCTTTCAGATTTTGTGGATAACGTGGAATGGGAGTGTCATGGCATGCCAGCTGTCAAGAATGTCATAATGTACGGTTGCTGCTCAGACCCGTACCCTGACATAACGTACACAGTCCTGCTCAAGCGGCGTTCTTCTTTCTACATCTTCAACCTGCTTCTGCCGTGTTTCCTCATCTCTTTCTTGGCTCCACTGGGCTTCTACCTGCCGGCTGATTCTGGGGAGAAGGTCTCGTTGGGGGTGACGGTCCTGCTGGCTCTGACTGTATTTCAGCTGATGGTAGCTGAAAGTATGCCACCTTCAGAAAGTGTTCCATTAATTGGTAAGTTTCCAGCAGAGGAAAAAGATTTTAAAAAGTATATGGATGAGCTTTTTTCTTTATTTCTCTGGTTTCCTCTCACAATTTAAAAATATGTACATAAACGAATTGTAATAACAGTCACAAGCATTTAACACATACTCAATCAATTAGAATCACCATATTAGCCAAAGTATAAACGGGGGGCTCTTGAGAAATACCTAATCTCATATCCCTCCTATGCTGACTGACCAATCGGGAACCTTGGGCTCATCTACTGTATCTCCAAGCTCAGGGTTCTCTCCTGGGATAGCATGCCTAACTTGCTATTAAACACTCAAAAATATATATTTTTTGCTCGTTCAAACTTCTTATTTAAAAATGAGCTGAAACAACACAATTCTTGAGACTTCATTGGGACGTTTTTTATGTTCAATCCACATAAATTTGTTAAAAGTGTTAACTTAATCTATTTGTGTTGGGACAACATGAATGAGTTGTGTGGAACCCTGCATTTTTTACAGTGCGAGCATTATCTAAGTGTAAACTCTTGAAATTAAAGTGAGAATCAGTGCAGTTCAATTAGTTTCCAATAAAGTGATCTAAACAAAAATAAAAAGAACAAAAAATATTTTTATTGCAAAGAGGAATGGGCAAAAACTCCCAAAGACAGGTGTGCCAAGCTTGTGGCATCGTATTCAAAAAGACTTGAGACTGTAATTGCTGCCAAAGGTGCATCAACAAAGTATTGAACAAAGCCTGTGAATACTGATGTACATGCGATTTTTCAGATTTTTTATTTATTTATTTATTTTTTATATAAATTTGCAACAATTTCAAGATATCTTTTTCAGATTGTGATCATGGGGTGTAGAATTTTGAGGAAATAAATTATTTACTCCATTTTGGAATAAGGCTTAAACATAACAAATGTGGAAAAAGTAAAGGGCTTTGAATACTTTCCGGATGCACAGTAAGTGTGCATTCCAGGCAATTATTCTGTATTTAAAGGATGCTGGAAAACAAAGTTGGGGATCCACGTGCAGTTTTTAAACAGAGATTGGTCAGGCATGGCAATGGCCAAACATGTACAAACAGTATCATAGGGTAATACAAGCTGCAAAGGCAGCAAATAATCAAGGTAAACGATAAAATAAGGCAGGGATCAAACACAGAAAGACTTAGACAATGAAGCGCTTCAAGGTGTTACAGACTAACAAGACTCAACCCAGAAGTGTGTGTGCGATCTGTGTGCATAGTCTTAGTAATCAGCAAGAATGATCTTCACCTGTGTGTGTGTGTGTGTGTGTGTGTGTGTGTGTTTGTGTGTGTCAGTCCAGATAAAGTGCAGCTGTAGCAGATATTGATTGGTGCTAAGTATCATGGTATTTGTAGTTCGATTCAGTGGTGGAATTGCGTATACTAGATCACTGGCGATCGTAACACATTCAAATCTCATTCAAATTGGTAAATTAATGTTTATTACAGAGTTATTGTACGTGTTCATTAATAAAGTTTATTATTAATAACATGTAATTAACATTTTTTCAATTACCATGATTTTATATTCTACATTGTTTAGTGTCTCTTCTTACTTTAAATCTATTCTACCACTAATTCCAGCCTTCAAGACTTAAAAAAAACCTATTGTTTTCCTCATAGGGACCAAAGAAATAATCCTACAAAGTAAAAAATAAAATAAAATACTGGTATTGATGTTTGAACATCATTGTTGAAAATGAAACTAAATGAAAATAAAATATTTAATTAAAGGTTGAGAAATACAGTGTGGAGCATCAACTTTTGAATACCTAGAATTAACCACAAATAAGTTATGAATTTTATAAATCTCGAATCAAGATGACCCAGCATTTAAATGATCTGAATTTAGAATGACTATGAGGTTATTTAAACTCAACAAACAATTGGTACTAACATTACTTTAAAATACCACCTTACATCTGACTCATTATATTGATAGGGTTGTATTACACATAATACATAATAAAGCACACTGTAAAATAAAAGTATTTGTTTTGTCAGTCCCAGCAACTGATTGTGTTAACATAGCTTCTTTGTTATTTGTTTCTTGTTTTGTGTTTCTTATAGGAAAATATTACATTGCAACAATGACCATGATAACAGCCTCTACATCTTTGACTATATTCATTATGAATATACACTTCTGTGGAGCAGAAGCTAAACCTGTGCCCCACTGGGCCAAAGTCCTGATAATAGATTACATGTCAAAGATCTTCTTTGTGTATGAGGTAGGAGAGAACTGCACAACACCTGAAAGTGATCGAGGCCCATTTTTCTCTGAAGATCCACTGGCTAGCCTGGAGAGAGATGGGTATTTTGACAAAGGGTTTTATGAAGACTGTCACCTTGATGAGAGAATCCGCAGTCAGTTTAATGGGTACAGTCACAGAGACCACCGACATGGGAATGGGTACCATCACAAAAACAGCAGCTATCGGCAACATAGGCATGAGCAGCAAAGAAGAACCCGATCGTCATCAAATTCCCCTGTTCGACAGAGTTCCCATCATCCAAAATATACACACTTCATCGGTCGAGATGGAAGCGAAAAGCTCCCACTAACAAGTCAGGAAAAACTCAAAGACAGTGAAATCTCCATTCCAGAAAAAATTAACGGATACACATATGATCAGGGCAATGGGTATCTCAATGGAGTCGGCTACCTTCACGATAATGGCTACAGCAAAACCTTTGGAGCAGATAGCTACAATAAGACAACTACTGGCACAGGGTGTGTCTGTGGAAAACATCAGAAATTGGTGCGAAACATTGAGTACATAGCTAACTGTTTCAGAGAGCAGAGGGGACACCAGGCCAAAGGGGCCGAGTGGAAGAAGGTTGCCAAGGTGATGGACAGGTTCTTCATGTGGGTGTTTTTCATCATGGTCTTCCTCATGAGTATTCTTGTCTTGGCCAAGGCAACCTAGGAAAGTTTACAACTTGATGCAATTGGTAAATTACATAATAAGTAAATCTATGTGTCAAAAGACTGTAATTCTGTTCTGCAATCCTGTATTTGTTGGCAAATGCATTCAGATTAAAATGTGAATTACAGTTACAGCATGTGTTTTAGTTGTTTGAATATCTTCCTTTATTCATTGCTGTCTTTGTTTTTTCCACTCCTTTTTTTGTAGTTGGTAAAAGTTAAAGAAATGGCATTAATATTTCAGGTGTAGAAGTGTTCCCACAAGTGTACATAGAGTAACACAATCTTTGTCCAGCATGGACACACATTAATAATGCACAATTAACCCCGCACATGCGTATGGGCAGACATTGACACTAACACACATTAAAAATGCATCAATAGACCTGTCCTGAATATTGAACACGTGCATCTTGCATCCTATACCAATGCTAGTGTACCAATCTATCCTAGAAGCAACATTTGCAACTTCTATATTTGCTTACTGTCACCTATTGTTGACTTGTTTGATTTGCTGTGGTTGTCTCTTGATTTTTTCTTTGTTCACAGTATACTTTACAACAGTGCTACACAAATAAATCCTTAATCACAAAATCCTAGAATTTTAGAAAGACCTACTGATCGAAAAAGGAATCAACTTGAGAAAAAGGATACATAGAAATTAGGAGTGCAACCTCAAATGCTGTAACAAATCTTGAAACAAGAGTCAGTTACTGCACCATTAATAAACCAAGCTTTATATAAAAATACCATTCAAAGACTTGAAAATGTCCTGGCCAAAACCCCTCAACCCAACATTACTTAAACTGAAACGGAACTGAAAATGTCATAGGGCTCTATTTTAACAATCTAGCCACAAAGTCTAAAGCACAAGGCACAACAGCATTACGTGCGTGTCTGAGTCATGAAAAAGGCACGGGGGTAGTGATTTTTATATTCATATTGAAAAAAAAAAAAATTGTAACATTAATCCTTTATTTTTTTCATATGTGAAGATATTTGTGTCTTGCTTTACATCCTGAGTGTATCAAACAATGTGTACAGGTTTTGGACCTGCATAGATCCATAATTACAGCAGTCTGCGCTGGACTTTAGACCGGGGTTTATTTGGTCCTGTTTCAGTTTTTTTTTTAAATGCAACAACAATGAACTTTAATACACTTCTTCTTTAGTCGGAACACCGATGAGTCTACAAAGTGGCACAAATTGAATTTGCTATTTAAACAACGAGGCAAAAAATGAGAAAATTAAAGTTTGCGCTGGTCTAAAAATTGCGCCAAACACGTCTTGCACATTATTGTGCCGGGTGAATGATAGGGCCCTCAGTCTTTTCATAGTTGTACAGTGCTTTTTTTAATATCTGCCAAGAGACTTTTCAGCCTTAAAGTGACCTTGATGTTTTCTGATTATTTTACACGTACATTTACACATTTATCTGCAAAATGTGGCAATATGCCCTTCTCATTTTTGTAAATTTTTGTCTCTTACAATCAAGGATAGCAAGGCAAGGCAAGTTTATTTATATTGCACATTTTATGCACAATGGTAATTTAAAGTGCTTTACATAAAGAAAAAAAATCATTAAATACAAGTATATTAAATCATAATTACTAATAAAACAGGTTTAAAAGGAATGACAATAAAGGAAAAGAAAGACAAAGCACACACAGAGCACAGTGCTCATTCAGTAAAGACACAGTTTAACAGATTTGAGTTCTAAGTCAGTGTTATGAGTCTAATTTGCCTACTGTTGAAGCACATCTGATCATTTCTGGAAGATGATTCCAGCAGTAGGGGCAAAAAAGGCAAACTCTTGGAATTTCTAATTTAATCAGTCCTTGATCTGAGTGATCTGCTAGGTTGTATTCAGTGAGCATATCTGTAATTTATTGTGGTCCTAGGCCATTTAGTGATTTATAAACAATAATAATACTTAATAATAATACTAATAAAAAAAAAATTATTATGAATGTAACTAGAACAGTGTAACTGTGTAAAGACCTGAGGACAGGTGTGATGTGCTCTGATTTTCTGGTTCCGGTCAGAATCCTGGCAGCAGCATTCTGGATGAGTAATAAATGTCTGACTGTCTTTTTAGAAAGGCCAGCGTGGAGTCCATTATAGTAACCCACTCTGATCTTGATCTTGACTTGATCTTTTGATTTCTCTTTCTTCCTGCTTTTCATTCTTGCAGTGTGCACTCTTTATTACTGATTAGTGCGCACACGGCTTGCTGCACCTGTTACCAGTCTCCATTAATTTCCTTGCTATTTAAGCTCTCCTTTTCCCACTTTCTGGTCGCTAGTGTGTACTGTCATTATTCAGGCTATCTCGCTACGTTGTCCTGATTCCTGTCATTGTCATGCATTACTTCATGTTCTGATTCTGTTTTTCTCTTCTGCCCAGTTTTTGCTTGGTTGCCTGTGTTTTTTCTGTTTCATTTTGGATTCTCCCTGGCCAGCCACCTACCTTCTACTTCGCCTGTCCGATGCTGAACTTGAATTTCCTCCGTAATCCCATCTGCCTCCCGATCAATGCTCACCTGCCTGTGATCTCTCACGCCCGCCGATTTGGACACTGTTGCCATGTTATCTTTCGCTCTCGCCGAGCGATCTCATCATTTTCATTTGAGTTACGAGCCTCGGCTCGTCATTGTTTTGAAGAGTTAATAAAATCCTTTTGTGTTAACAGCATTTGCGTTTGGATCAGTCTCTCCGGGTGTGACGGTTTATCCCCACTGTAAACAAAGAATCTAATTCTTGCATTGTTTTTGAGATGATAGTCTGCTGATTTAGTTACTGCTTTGACATAATGACCAAAACAAAGATCTGAATCCAGAATCACACCAAGATTCTTGACATTATTTTTTATTGTTTGACCCCTAGACCCCCCATAGCTGTGGAAAGAAATTTAGGTTTTAGCATTAAAAGGTTCCACATAAGAGGTACCAGAATTGAACCTTGTGGGATTTCACATGTCATGGGTGTCTGCCTCTACCTATGGTCACTTATACTGACATAGTAACCTCTACCTTCAAGAAATGATCTGAACCATTTAAGGACTGTCCCAGAATGCCAACCCAGTTTTACAGCATATGAAGTATGCTGTAATCGACAGTGTCAAATGCAGCACTGAAATCAATAAATATCAGCACTGTTTGTTTGCCTGAATTTGTATTTGTAAGACAAATATCATTGATTATTTTTATGAGGGCATCATTTGTACTATGATATGGTCAGAATTAAAATTGAAAAATGTCTAAACATCTCTTAGAACCTAGACATTTGTTAATCTGGTTAAAACCATTTGGCAATAATTTTGCCAATAAAAAGGAGAATTTTAAATCATTTGTGCTGTTATCATGGTTGCTCTTTTACAGACTGCAGATTAAAGGGAGTTTGGAAAAGTTCGAGAAAGACATGAAGCATTTAACACTTTTAGGAGTTAAACAGTTAAACATCATTTTGAAGAAATATGTGGGGAGTGGGTCAAGGCAGCAGGATGACGTATTCATAATCTGTATGATCTCTTCCAAGATTTTACCATCAATTGCACTGAAATAAGACATAATTTCTGATTTCTTAAATTGTGAAGAAGGTACAGAGCTAGTAGCTTTTATATTTCATTTGTAGAAAATACTACATTTTAAAAATTTTAATCATTTAATTAATTTTATATTTACAGTTTTTCTCAGTGGCTTTGGTACATTTGTCACAACACTATTCTCATTTGCACAACAGTTAATGCAGTTTTCATAACAATTAGTACAAAATGCAAAACCTAATTGATAACCTGCAAAAGCGTGTCACTTGCTCAACATGGATAGCTCATTCTTCAAAAGCAAGTATTCATGTCAATGGCAGTATTATTGTCATCAAGATAAAGGCCTGACACCGTTGTTTATGAACAAGATAGTCAAATGGCTTTGTCATGTTTTCATTTACTCTGTACATTTTTTTAAATGCAAAAAGTCAGATGTTGGTGACACTTCCTGAAAATGCTCAAGACAGGCCTTTATACTACAGTTTTTCTCAGTCGCTTTAGTGCGTTTCTCACAACACTAGTGCATTTTTGCAAAACATTTAATGATTTTCTAAAAACAATTAGTACAAACTGAAAAACCTAGCTGATAACCTGCAAAAGCATGTCACATGCTCAAAATGGATAGTTCATTCCTCAAAAGCAAGTATTCATGTCAATCAAAGTGTCAGTGTCATCAAAATGAAAAGTCCTGTCAACATTGTTTATGAACAAGATAGTCAAATGGCTTAGTCATGTTTTCATTATAACAGTTTACTCTCTACATTTTTTCAATGCAAAAAAGTCAGATGTTGGTGACACTTCCTGAAAATGCTCAAGACAGCACTCTATACTATTTGCACAGCCATTTGAAAGCTACAGTAAAGTTAGACATCACTGCATTTAGTGAGGTATCTAAGTACAAGACACTGAATATGTATGTTTCACATTTTTACTCTGCATTTGCTCTTAAAAATCCTAATTTATTGACAGCATTGTGCAAAAGAATAAACACACCCTTATTTACAACAAACCTAAACTCCCTTTAGGAAGAGCTGTGCACATAATATTGCAGTACATATTGGAACTGAGCCTACAACATACACAGGTCTGTAAATCATTCATCAAATTGTTTAATTTTAAAGACATTTTCAGGAAAATAAAGATTTAAATTTGCTTAAAAAATTAGCTTGACAGATTTTTACAACTAGTTCAACATTTTTGGATGTAATGACTCAAGTAATGAAATGAGGATTACTCGTTTTATATCGAATGACTATTCAACATTTACAAGTTTAGTTCATTTTGACTGACATGACATAAGCAGATGATAATGTTCTGAACAGCAGAGAGTTGTATAAAAGCAATTGATGCATCTCCAAAAGCATTCGCAATTTGTTGAAAAGAATGAGAAACTGCTACTAGGATTTGCACAAATGACTAATTGTTTTGAGAAATGCATTACCTGTTGTGCAAATGTAAACAGTGTAGTGAGAAATGCACCAAAGCGACTGTATTTGCACAGCCATTTGAAAACTACAGTAAAGTTAGACATCACTGCATTTAGTGAGGTATCTAAGTACAAGACACTGAATATGTATGTTTCACATTTTTACTCTGCATTTGCTCTTAAAAATCCTAATTTATTGACAGCATTGTGCAAAAGAATAAACACAACCTTATTTACAACAAACATAAACTCCCTTTGGGTAGAGCTGTGCACAACTGTAAACAATATTGCAGTACATATTGGACCTGAACCTGCAACATACACAGGTCTGTAAATCATTTATAAAAATTGTTCAATTTTAAAGACATTTTCAGGAAAATAAAGATTTTTTTTTTTTTTTATAAAGTTTGCTTGACCGATTTTGACATCAAGTTTAACATTTTTGTATGTAATGACTCAAGTAATGAAATGGGGACTATTAGTTTTATATGGGATCTATATTCAGCATTTACAAGTGAAGTTTATTTTGACTGACATGACATAAGCAGATGATAATGTTATAAGTGAAGTTTATTCATAAACTAATTTCAAGAGGATCACTAGTTATGATTTATCACGGCCGGTCTCGCATTTGCTAATCACTATCTTCCAATCATATGAGCCCTAAGCTACTATAAATAGCCACAGTTTTCAGTACACTTTTTCTTTGTTTGTAAGAAACCCCCCTCCTCCCCTATTCTCCTCCTTTACCTCTGATTGGGCGGCATGGCGGCCCAGTGGATAGCACTTTGAGCCCCACAGCAAGAACACTGCCAGCCCTGGTTCCACAGGACCGGTGGGTGTTTCTGTGAGGAGTTTGTATGTTCTCCCCGTGTCCGCGTGGGTTTTCCCCGGGTTCTCCGGTTTCCTCCCACCATCCAAAGACATTCAACATACATAACAATTAAGCTTTATCTAACCCCTTGTGTTCCCTTAGCTACCGTAGCAGGGGAGTTCTGAGATCCACCAAGCTCAGGCTCCCCTCTCGCTCTGCCAAAGGGAGGAATCCCCGGGCTCGAGGAGCCCTTGAGCTCAGGGCTCTCTCCCGGGACAGCATGCCAAACAAGCTTTTATAAATCATCAGCTAAGTGTGAACTCTTGAAATAGCAGAGAGTTGTATGAAAGCAATTGATGAATATCCGAAAGCATTTGCAATTTGTTGAAAGGAATGAGAAACTGCTACTAGGATGTGCACAAATGACTAATAGTTTTGAGAAATGCATGACCTGTTGTGCAAATTTAAATAGTGTTGTGAAAAATGCACCAAAGCGACTGACAAAAACTGTAAATACACCCCTATTTACAACAAACATAAACCTTCTTTGGGTAGAGCTGTGAACAACTGTAAACAATCTTGCCGTACAAATTGGAACTGAACCTACAACATACACCGGACTGTAAATCATTCAGGAAATTGTTTGATTTAG